ATTTATTTATTTTGTGTGTGTATGGCCAGCTCAGCCCACCAGGGGGCAGGGCTGGTGGGCATGTGGTGCTGGGGGATTGAACCATGGTCCCTGTGGTTTGCTTAGCTTAGCTTGTTCTAAGTAGGTGCTTTAGACCACTGAGCCATCTCACCAGCCCTTTTTTTTTTTTTTTTTTTTTTTTAATGTATTTAGTACAGGGTCTACAGGGTCTTACTACACAAATTGTACTCATAGTGATCCTCCTGTTTTCATCCTTCCAAGTGCTGGGATTACAGGTGTGCACTACCACGCCGAATCTCATTCGCCATCTCAGCTCACCTGGGGGGTGGAGCCAGCACAGCTTGTGGTGCCAGGGATGGAACCCCAGTCCCTGCGCTTTGCCTAAACAGGTGCTTTAGTCACTAACCTATCTGGCCAGCCCTGTTGGTAGATTTTTGATTATGTTTTCAATTTTTTGGCTGATATTGGGTTATTCAGAGTATTTATATCTTCTTGATTCGGCTTTGGTAGTTCATGTATATCTAGGCATCTGTCCATTTCTTTAGTGTTTTCCAACCTGAAGAGTAAAGATTTGGAAGTAGGCATTGATGATCTTTTGAATTTCTATAGGTCTCTAGTGGTTTCACCATTTTCATTCTTTATTGCATGAATTTAAGTTTTCTATTATAAGTGATGTTTCTTCTCTTTAATAAAGAGAAGAATTTAAGTTTTTTCTTTCTTTTTTTGATAAGGCTAGTTAGAGGTGTATCAATTTCACTTATTCTTTCAAAGAACCAGCTCTTTGATTCATTAATTCTTTGTATTGTTTTCTTTATCTCCATTGCATTTATTTCTGCTCTGATCTTTATAATTTCCTGCCTTCTTTTTGCTTGACTTGCTCTTTTTTTTTTTTTTTTTAGGAGTTTGAAGTGCTACATTAGATAGGTTATTTGGGCTCTTTCTGTTTTTCTAATAAAAGAATTTACTTCTCTAAATTTCCCTCTTAAGACAACTTTCATTACATCCCATAGGTTCCAGTAAGTTGTGTCGGCATTTTTTTTTAATGTGTCTCCTTTTTTGTTTGATTGTAAATATTGTTTAATTTCTTCTTTGATTTCATCTGTGACCCATTGATTGTTCTGAAAGTTATTTGGTTTCCACATGTTTATGGAGTTTTTGTTGTTTCTTTTGTCAATAATTTTCAGTTTCATTGAATTATGGTCAGATTATGTGCATGGCATAATTTCTGTTCCTTTGCATTTACTTAAGCATGCTCTGTGTACTAGTATGTGGTCTATTTTGGAGAATGAACTGTGGGTAGCTGAGAAGAATGTGTATTCTGACTCTGGGGTGGAGCACTCTGTAAAGGTCTACAAGTCCATTTCTTCATAGGTTTGGTTTTATTCTGCTATTTCTCTGCTGATTTTTTGCTTAGTTGATCTGTCTCTTTGTGTCAGTGGGGTGTTAAAGTCCCCCAGTGTTATTGCTCATTTGATTTTTCATGTCTGTTAAAATTTGCCTTCTTTAGTTGGGTGCTCCTGCATTGGGTGCATATATATTTATAACTGATATCTTTTCCTCTTGTTGTTTTCCCTTAACAAGTATATAGTGACTTTCTTTGTCTCTTAAACACATTTGGTGTGAAGTTGACATTGTCAGCAACCAGAATAGGTACGCTTACTCTCTCCTGGGTTCTTATTGCATGGAATATTGTTTTTCATCCTTTCACTATTAATTTCTTTTTGAATTAATTGTGTTTTTCATATACAGCATATTGTTGGATTTTGTTTCTTGATCCACTCTGCCAGTCTGCTTCTTTTGATTTGTAAATTTAGGCCATTTCTATTTCAATCTATAACTGAAATGAATTGGCTTATCTTTATCATGTTATTTTCCTGCTGAAGGATCCCTACTTTTCCCCTCTGATTAATTGCTTGCTCTGTTTGGTGGTTCTTTTCTGTTGTTCCTGAAGTTGTGGTCCTTTTTGTCTCTCTCTAAAATATCTGTCAGTACTCTTTGTAGGGTTGATTTGGTTGTCGTGAATTTCTTCAGTTGTTCTTTGTCATGGTATTATCTCTCCATTAAATTTGATAGATGGTCAATCTGGGTTAGAAGTTATTTTCTTTCAGGTCCTGAAATATTTCACTCTAAGCTCTTTTTAATTTGATGGTCTGTGTTGAGAAATCTTCTGTGATTCTGATGGAATTTCTATTATAAAAAGTGATGTTTCTTCTCTTTAATAAACAGTTTTTATTTTTATTTATTTTTTTTTGGAAAGTGAAAGGCAGGTTTTAATTTTAAGGACATTGTCATTATGTGCCTGGAGTTCACAATGCATAATTGTTCACAGAGGGATGACTACAATTAGGTAAGCATCTGGAATTTAGGAATGACCTCGAGAAAACAAGAGAAGCGAAGCTGTGCTTAGAAAGGAATGACCACTCAGTGGAGATACAAAGTAATGAAGGGATGGGACACTTAACACAAGTGGCCTCCTTGTCTTCCTCAATGTTTAGAAAAGTTTCTCTAAGGAAGGTGCTGTACATGGTTTCAGGGTAAATACTGAGGGGATCTGACTGACCTTGTCAGATACAAAAGTTGCAGTTTTAGTTATATAGGTCTTGCTTTACCTTGGTCTCAACCATCCAGCAGAGAAGTACAACCACAAGGTATAAAAAGTAAAGCCATATTAATATGCTGAGCTTCGAAAGGCTCAAGTCAACAACTTCTGACAATTACCAGTGCTGATATCCCACTACTATTATGGACTATTAGACTATATTGGGATATTTTGCTGATTTCAAGTATCTACAATATTTGAACTGGCGTCAAGTATGAAAAGGTCCTCTAAATACTTCTCCAAATACAGCTTCTCTAACAGCAATGGAACACCCATCTCCAACAAAACAAAAAAGGTTACAAATAAAGGACCATTTTATATTGAAAAAAAATACGTATGTATAGACAAAATGGTTAAGATATACAGCCACTTTCTCTTAGTTCAATGAGAGGAAAAGTTTATACCAATATTGTTTAGACAAGATATATATCTGTATCTTGTCCTCTGAATAACCACTATGAAGACAAGAATATGCAATGCATTAATTATTGTAACTGTCCTACTAACCTGTTTTTTTTTTTTTTTGGAACCAGGGATTGAACTCAGATCCTTGAGTTTGCCAGTGAAGCGCTTATCCTACTGAGCCATCTCCCCAGCCCCCTTCTACTAACCTGTTTTGAAACACTTTCATTGCTACTTTTTTTTCGTAATAAACAGTTTTTAATATTCTGTTATTTTGCTCAATTTCTATGATCTTGACTATTGTATATATGAGTACAGATTTATTTTGATTATGGTTAAGTGGAGTTCTCTAGCCCTCACTCATTAGTATGTCAGATTATTTTTGTGTGATTGGTAGAGTTTCTGTTACTACTTCTGCAAACAGTGTTTTTATGTCATTTGTGTTGACTCCAGCTGTTTCAGTGGTACTTTTTCTTTTTTTTCTTTTTTTTTTTTTTTTGTGGAACTGGGGATTAAACTCAGGCGCTTGTGTTTGCCAGGGAAGCGCTAATTGCACTGAGCCATCTCCCCAGCCCCAAAGACTTTTACTTTTTTTTTTTTTTTTTGTGGAATCAGGGATTGATCTCAGGCCCTTGTGCTTGCCAGGGAAGCTCTTATTCCACTGAGCCATCTCCCCGGCCTGGTACTTATTATTCTTATATTATTTTTCTTTGCGTCACCTTGCAGCTGTTGCATTATTACTTCCCTGTTCCTTATTATTTTCAGGAGCTCTTTCCTTTCACATTTCACTAGGTGCAGTGCTGTCTTCAAGGTCTGAAATTCTATCTGCTACTTCATTCAAGCAGTTTTGTCGGCTTTCAGTAGAATTCTTAACGTCTTAGATATCTGTTTTAATCTGTTTCTTGCATTCTAGTTGTTTCCTGTTTAATGTTTACATCATTTTCTTATTCTCCTCTATTTTCTTTTCTTTTCTTTTTTTTTTTTTTTCAGTATCAGGGATTGAACTCAGGACCCTGTGCTTGCCAGGCTAGCACTTAGTCTACTGAACTATCTTCCCGGCCACTCTCCTCTATTTTTTTAACCTATGCCTTTTTTAGATTTATGGAACATATGCTTAGTGAGGGCGGGCAAGCCAAAGCTCAGAAAGGATCCAGTTGTGGTAAGGGCAGGCCAAAACTCCACAAGGCCCTTGTAATGGTCCATCATGCCTGGTAGGGCTTGCCCAGGCTCATACTACTGATGACACAGTTGGTGGCCTCTCAGCCGAGCTAAAGTAAGGTGATGGTGTGAGAGGTGGTCACAGCTCAGCCGAGCCCCACTGATGGTGGGGAAGGAGGTAGAGCAGGGCTCTGCCCCTGATCTCCGCAGGCAGTGGGAGAAACTACAGCTCTGGGCAGGACTCACCAGTTTGTAAGTTGGAGAAATCTTTATTTTTGGCTTAACCTTCAATTGGGACACAGATTCAGTTTGAACATAGAAACTTCAATTTTGTTGGAAGTCTTCTTAAATTGAAAGCATGTATGCTGTGTGTGTATGTTAAATGAGACAGGTTATAAGCTTGGTGACTGTTTTGCTTTCCGGTGTAGGAGAATAAGGTTATGCACATATTTTTCTGCCTAGCTTCCAAACATAACTTTTCTTCCATTCTTCCTTGTGTCTGCATTTGTAGAGAATGTACCTTGCTCCAGAAACTGGTAGGACGGGGCTAGAGAATGGAGTACCACAGTGGATTATGAAGTGGAGCAGGAATTAGCACTGTCCCTGGGTCCAGCCTTTGTGCCTTTCTGTGATCAGTCTGTATCCATCACTGTCTTTAGCAAGATTGTGGTGTTTGTCAGCCCTGTATGATGTTGAGTGTAGTTCTAATGTTAAGCAGACATTTAATATTTTCATTTTTATTATTTGATTTTAATATATGTCAATGAACATAGATTCAAAATAGACATATGCAGAATATATGTGTACCATTTCATTGACATAACATCTGATTTTTTTCCAGACTCTGAGGATCATTATGTGGAAGACACAGGTGAGGCTTTAATATTAATATTATTCTTTCTTAGTTAGAATGAGTCTTTTTCTTTAACAGAGCACTATCAGTATACAAATCTATTCTCGTAATATTTTAAAATTAACATATCACAAATGATATATACTTAGTAATTCTGTATATTTTTGTCTAAGTCCATCTTTGTGAACACAGTTTTTGTCTTGAAGTACATTTCCTATGGATGAAGTCCTAATAGTAGAATTACTAGGTCAAAGGTGCAGTGGAATTGCATGCATTTACCCATAAATTAAAAAGTCAATAAAGGGTCAAAATCATGTTTTGTCATCAGTCAGTGCCTTGAAGGTACTGCTACACTGGAGATAAGACATGTCACCTTTCAGTGGTGCTTGAATGTCTCGTTGTATTGTTAACCGGCCGTTGGGATGTGATTAGTTAGCACCATGCATCTGTAAACACTAGCACTACATTCTAGCCTGGGAGAAATGCCATAGAGAGGACCTAGGCATGAAGGCTAGGTGAGGGCTCAGTGTGTGCTTGCCAAGACTCCCATGGCAACTAGTTGGGGAAGAGGTGGACTCTTGGTACAGTTGTCCTTGACTCACTGCCTTTCTTTGACTGTGTTTGCTGACTAGAATGTGTTGAGCTGATTGAAAACACAGCTCTACTGTTTTGTGGTTAGATTATAAATCCTCATGATGAGAACCATCTCATCTTTGTGTTTAGCATTATATATGATTAATTCCTACTGATTCCATGAATAAACATGATTTATTGTCATTGTGTTTTGATTTTGCATTCTATTATTACCAGGAATTGTAGCTAATGTAATGCAATCCTCATTTGAGACATATTTTAACTTTTCTAATTATTTCCTAATTTACAGTTTTACAAGACCATCAGGATATGGAAGAGATAATATATGACCAACTAAACTCAGGTTTGTCAATATAAAAACAAATTATTTTTATTTCTGTTTCAGGCTATAGTCAAGGCCATTTCAATTCATGGTCTGTTCATAACACTTTTAATAGTAATTTTTTTATTCTATATGTATTTATAGAGGGCCAGGGCTGGTGAAATGGCTCAGTGGTCTAAAGCACCTACTTAGAACAAACTTAGCAAAGCAAAGGGACCGCGGTTCAATCCCCCAGCACCACATGCCAGCCAGGGCTGCCCCCTGGTGGGCTGAGCTGCCCCCCCCACACAAATGAATAAGTTGTAAAAAATAATAATAAATAAAAATAAAAATATAGAGGGCCAGCAAGATAGCTCAGTGGACTAAGTACCTGCTTTGGCAAGCCCATGGATTAGAGTTCGGTCCCTGGTCCCTGGTCCCTGGTGCCACACTGCACGTGCGCGCGCGCCCCCCTCCCCCCCCACGAGATTCGCTGAGCCAGCAGCTGTGTCTGGGCATGGTGGCACAAACCTGTAATCCCAGGGCTGGGAATACTAAAAACAAGAGGATCACTACAAGTCCCTTCTGCATAGTGAGACCCTGTACCAAATACCAAATACCTAAAACAAACAAACAAACAATATATATATATATCCATATGGATATATATGGATATATATTTCTGAATGTAGTTTAATATGACAAGGGAATATCCAAAAAAGGAAATGGTAATTTATTCTTTTGTCACCATTTGGATTGTGGTGGCCATTGAAGTGCCATTGTGTAGTAAACTTGGGTTGGGTAGGGCTGGCCAAATAGCTCTGTGGATTAAAGCGCCTGCTTAGGCAGGTACAGGGGCCAGGAATTTGATTCCCCAGCCTGCCATGCTGGCCCCACTCCCAGGGCAAGCTGAGATGGTGATTAAGACTGGGCGTGGTGGTGTAGGCCTATAATCCCAGCTCTTGGGAGGCTGAGCACAGGTGGATCACAAGTACATTCTACGCAGTGAGGCCCTGTAGACCCTGTCCTAAAATAAAAAAATAAAAAATCTTGGGTTGGGTGAAAATCCTAGCTCTCCTTTTCCCCATCATTGTGACTTAGCAAGTTATAAAACTTTTTTTTTTTGTAACACTGGGGCTTGAACTTGGGACCTTGCACTTGCCAGGCCTTGCACTTGCCAGGCTCATGCTGCTGAACTATCTCCCCAGCCCAAGTTCTAGAACTTTTCTCTGTTTAAATTTTATTAAGTGGTAATAAATTAGATAATAAAATAGACATAGTGTCTGTCATACAAAATGTAATGGGGAGCATGTGAGTATGAATATATCAGAATAGAATCTGGTAATTGTAGGTATGTGATTTTTCATGTTTTCATTTTAGATTCCAGTGAACCACTAGCAGATGATGAACGATTGTACCAGGAAGCAGGTATCACGCAAACACTGTCATCAGATTTAAAGTGTTACTTTAGGCTTTTTAGTTGCAGTACTATGTTCACATGTTATTCTCTTTCAGAGAAATCAAGAGATTTTTAACAAGGTTTTTTTGGTTACAAAATTATTTATTAAACATACAATGAACCTTTGACTTAACTCTGTTTGCGAGGGCTGGTTGTAAATCAGGTTGGTTGTTAAGACTGTTTGGGGGTGCTGGGAAAATAGCTCAGTCTGAGTGCCTGCCTGGCAGGTACAAGGACCTGGGTTTGGTCCCCAGTACCTCATGCCATGCTGGCCACTGAAACTGGGAGTGGTGGCACATGCCTGTAATCCAGTGCGGGGAGGCTGTGAGACAGGAGGATCACTAGGAGTCTGAGCTGCGTAGTGAGACCCTGTACCAAAAAACCAACCAACCAACCAACAAACAAAACTTTCCCACAAGGAATAATGGAAATACTAATAATACATTCTTAACCTTTCAAAGCATCCTTTTACTAACCTTTTTGTAATAAAAGAGGTTTGTATAATGTGTGTCATTTACCAGAAACACCAGTTTCCTATGGTACTCACCATTTAGGTTGACATCTTTCACTTCCAGGAAGGCAGAGTGAAATGGAAGGAGGTTTTTGTTTGTAAGGAGAGTCCCCTTCCACAAGAACATCAGGAATGTATTCCCTGCTGTCCTTTCTCTCCATGGGAGAGTCTTTAGTCCACTAGGACTTGCTTCTGGCTCACTAGACTAGGTCTCATTGTTTTTGGAAAGGAAAACTCATTTAAGGTTGTCTGCTTTTGTCTTTTCTTTAACACTGCCCTATAAAGTGACATGATATTGTCATTAAGCAAGTGAGTGCAGTGATTGGCTTTTTCTCTGTCTGGATGGGTCTTCTCTACAAATGTTTCTAGCACTCTCCATGTTTTCAGGATTTCCTTTATTTCAGAAAATGACACTGGTTCCTAATACTCCCCCGCCCCTTCAGAAGGCTCCTCAACCACCACTCTCTGCTGCTCAGACAGAAGCCGTGAAGTGCCTCAGTAGGCAAACTCCTCTGAGTGTCCTGCACCAGTTCCTCAACATGTCCACTGTCTATGTGCAAACCTGTGGACTCTACTGTAGTGACAGTGTCATCAGATACAGGGTCAGTTGAAGGATGAGGCTCCTCTACATAGTCTTCAAAATCTCTCCACATTTTCTTTCAGATGGATCTGTTTCTTAGACATTGGCCCAGGATTTCTCAGGCCCACACAGGAAAAGATGTTGTAATGTTCTTCCAGAGCTATTTAAGAGTTAGATTTGTATCTGAAATCATCTGCATGTACTTTAGAAGTTCCTTGATATATAGTTTCCTAAAGTTAGCTATCACTGGCTGGTCCTTAGGCTATAGTAGGGGACTTGTGTTCGATAGGAGAAACTGAACAGAGAGCCATAGGAGTTCTTCAGGCAGTTCTTCCAAACCTTATACATGACCCACGTACTGTCCATGATGAGTAAACTCCTGAGTGGTAAACCTATGGGTGATCAGAGTATTGCCCTGTGGATATCTCTTAACAGTAGAATAGATACACTCATTGACCCATTCAGGAAAAAGTACTCTTAACCAGGCTTTTTTGTTACATCTCCGCATGACCCATAGCCTGTCTTCATGACTTGTATGTTTTCTAGACACTCAAGGGGTGAGTGATAGACTGGGAGATGCTTTGTGTCGGGGTCACCGCTTGTATGAGCACATAGCAGTAGGGTCAGCCTAGCCTTCATAGGTTTATGCTTTGGGATTTTCTTCCTTTCATAGGAATGTATGCTCTTGGGACCATTTTTCTTCCAGGAAAGTCCAGATTCATTACAGTTGAAAATTTGATGACAGTACTATCCATTTCTCTGTGTCATCGTTTTAGGTGTATGAAATATTCAGTAGCGCACCCCCCCCCCTTTGTATTTAGGACAGAATCTGCAGGATCTCACTGTGTAGATCAGATTTGTAGTGATTCTCCTGTTTACAGCCTCCCAAGTGCTGGAATTACAGTTGCGCACCACCACGCCTAGTCTCAATCGCTGTCTAAACGCACTCCAGAGGCAGGACCGGCACAGCAGGCCCAAAGATCAAACCTGGCCCCTGTGTCTGCCTAAGCAGGTGCTTTAATCTGCTGAGCTATTTGGCTGGCCCTCAGTAGCCCTTTTATCAGCACTAGCTACTTCATCTTTTTTCAATATGCTGTGAACCCCAGTTCTCATTTTAAAATTGTGAATCCAACCCTTACCAGCCCAAAATGTTTCACCAATATATTCATCAGTGAATTATCCTTTATGAGATCTGCATTTATCACCCTAATTTTTCACAAGTTTTAGACTCACATAGACTATGATCTGCCATTGCCTTTCATTTATCTACCCTAATCATAGCCTTTCTATCTAGCATAACAGTGTTGATTATGACTTAGAAAGTTGAGTAACACCTTTAGCAATACTAGCTTCCTTATACAAATCTTTTTCTGTAATATTGTCGAGATTGTGAATTTCAATATGCTGTACATAATGGCAAGATGGGTTACACTAAAATCGCTCTCATTTTTTCACAATTTTCTTGTTCTTTTTGATTGAGGTTGCTTTCTTGACTGTTCCTTTTCTCCTTAGTTTCTTTTTATAGCTTTGTGCGGACCATTTTGACAGTGGTGCCCGTAGGAGTTGTACAAAGCACCGACTGCAGTCTCATCCACAAACGCACAGACTTTTTCTGGCATCCTGATACTTGGTTCACAACCACATGAGTGACCAGCATTCTGGTTGTAGCTCAAGACTTCGGTCATAAATTAAACCCCAAATTCTCATGGCAACCCAGGTTTTTCATGTATGAAGCCAGCTGTAACTTGAGGGTCTACTGTATTGAGCATTCATATTTTACCTCATCATAATAAAACAGTATATTACATCCTCATTCTAATTTTGTATATCTTGCTATGAGGAATTTTTTTTTTTTACCATTATTATTATTTTCTTTTATACAGGGTCTCACTAGGCAGTTCAGACTCCCCAGCACTGGGATTATAGATGTGCACCGCCACACCTGGTTTTGGCGCCAGTGGTTCTGGGGATTGAACTTGGGACCTTGTGCTTGTCGCACAGGTACTTAGACTGCTGAACTACCTCTCCAGCCCCACTCTGAGGAATATAATTTCACTATCCTTTTTTTGTTGTTGTTGCTTTTGGGAAAGGTATTATCAACAGAACTGTCATTGGTATTTAATGGAAAAAAAAATCTGTGCTGCAAGAGATTTTTTTAAAGATAAGTTTCTTTTATGACTTACTAATGCTTGCCTTCCTTTTTTCCCCCTCCTTTCTTTCCTTCTTTCTTTCACAGGTGATGTAACATACCAAGACTATGGTGAACAAGGTATGGATTTGCTTAAATTTATACTATGTGTTCTTTGAAATTGCACCTGTATTTTGACTATAAACTACAGAGAATTATGTTTTAAGCTGTAGATACCATAACTTAAAACATCCAAATGAATGATGGTTTGTAGGGAGTTCACTGGGAAAGGCTGGTTAACTGCACTAGTGGTTCTGCCCTTGTCAGAATAAATTCCTAAACTTTCCACAACTTGTCTGAAGGGACAATTATAAATTGTTCAAAAAAAATTTCTCACTTTCTACTCATCTCTCTTAAAATATTATGAGCATATACTTTCATCTAATTGTCTGTATACATCAAGTCCCCTCTCAGAAGTGAATATGTGTCATGTTGGTGATGGGAGGAAAAATCCAGTTTCAGGCTTACCAGCAGCGTAGAAAAAACAGTTGTGCCAACTTTTTGGCATGGGCAGCATCCTATTCAGATTTGTGCACTTTTTACAGCTCTTGTCCTCCAAACATGTACTATTCTATTTTAATGAACTCTATGAAGCAGATTATATTTTCTTTGCCAGTAGGATGAGTGAAATAAGGCTTATAGAAGGTAAATAATTTCCTTGTTTGTATAACTAAAAGATGATATAGCCAATGATGTATCTTATATGTACTATAGATATTTTAGGATTCAAAAATTTTGTGTTAGCTGGTGAATCACAATTGAAGAAAGTAGACTTGATGTACTAATTTTTAAGTAAGTGTTTAAGACTTAAGGCCTTATCAAGATCCCATAGTGGCTAAAGGGGTGTAAATCTGAAGAATTTTGGATCATCTTCCAGTGTTTATCTTTTTTATAACAAATTAAAGAAGTTGGCCAGTCAGAGTGGCTCTAAATTTTTCCATTCTGCCAGTCTGAATTTGGAGGAAAAATTAGAAATTTAGGAATGAAAAGTTGTATGTAGAGGTGGAATTTGAGATGCTTCTATTTCTCCCTATAATTGTCATCCATCTATCTATCTTTCTATCTCTCCATCCATCCATCCATCCATCCATCCATCCATCCATCCATTTATTTTAGTACTGGGAAATGAACTCATGATCTCATGCTCGCAAGGCAGGTGTTGTGCTGCTGAGCTATATCCTTGGCCCAGCCATGTTTTTAAAAAATACATTAAAATGCTAACAAGATAGCTCAGACTGTGTGCCTGCTTTGGCAAGCATAAGGACCAGGGTTCGATCCCTGGTCCCAGGTGCTGCACTGTCCTGACCCCGGACCAAGTCTAGGTGTGGTGGCGCACGCCTGTAATCCTAGTGCTGGGGAGGCTGAAAACAGGAGGATCACTATGAGTTGAAGCTGCATAGAGAGACCCTGTAGCAAATATATAAATGGAAAAAAAAAAAAAAACCAGTAAAAAATGTTTGGAATGTATTTTACAGGCAAGATCTCGAGGAATTTAAAATCGAACTTGTAGGAAGCATCACAGGTGAGATGTCCTCGGGGTGGAATCTGGGTTATGCTTCTAACTCCAGCCTCACAAAGAGTGAAAGCATTTTCCAAAATGATGACAGCAACTTCTGCTCCCATCTGTGGGCTGCGCACAGTGCCCGTTGCTCCACACCCTTCCCAGTATTTAGTATTTATTAGGATTTTAAGTTTCTGCGAATCCAGGGAAAGGAAATGATAGGTAGTCTTCATTGCTTTTTCTCAATTTTAATTTTTTATTTTTGTATTTTAGGGAAGGGTCTACAGGGTATTCAGGGTCTCACTACTAGATTGGACTCGTAGTGATCCGCCTGTTTAGAGCCCCCCAAGAGCTGGGATTACAGGCATTTTCCTCAGTTATTAATGAGGCTGCCAGTCTTAGGCATTTGTGTCACATTTAGTTTCTTCTGAGAGATCTGTTCAGTATCCTGCCCACTTCTCTATTAAATGGTTTGTCTCTCTTATTAAAGTCTCTCTATGCTCTATGTGTTTTGTATTTAGCCAGTTAGAAGTTGCTAAGATTTCTGGTTTATAACTTGTACTTTTGACCTCTGGTATGTCTTGAAGGTCATTATGGTTAATATTGTTGAATTTATGAATCATTTTTCTAGTTTTAGGTGTGTGGTTGTCTTAATAAAGAAATCCTTCCCTACCTGTCCCCATTCCCCCTAAAAGAAAGTATAAAATGCTAAAAAGGATGTTGTAAAAGAAATATATTTTCATAGACAAAGTATCAGAGTAAATAATTGAAAATGCTACCAGTAAGGCAATGAGTATGATCAAAGGGGGTGTCATGATTTGGTAGGATGCTGTGAATCATTTTGATACAGAACTTAAACTTTTTCATACACAATAGATCTACTAAAACAAGATTATTCACTATATACTGAAAAGATACCTTTGTAGAAATTTAGGAACCAAATTCTGTAAACCAAGTAATTGACATGTAAGTAAAGCTATTAAGTGGAAATGAAACAAAACTATTTCAGTGGATGTTGGAATATACAATATTCTGAATTAAACTCTCCCTTTCCTAAACCAGAAAGCACATTGTTTGATAGAACTGTTAAGAGATACTAGCTTCTCACATCGCAGACATGCTGGGAAACTTCAGACCTGGGAAATGATGTTATAGTGTTAACTGACTCATTGATTTTTGTTCAGACACTACATATTTGTGATCTTGTTTTCCTAATCTAGAACATGGCAGCAGCTCTCATGAAGGAACACTTGTTCCTTGCTTTTCTAGACCTTATATTTTAGCAAGGAGGTAGGAAATGATAAGTAGTTTTACCGTGGCGTTCTGTTATAGTTGTGGTAAATGCCAGGGAGGGTTGGCGTAATCTTAACAAATGTCTTGGAATAAAGAGATATTAGCTGGTCTCTGGATGAGACAGATGCAGATGAAGGCAGCTGAAGAGATGAGGTGAACGGTCTGGAGTGGTGGGAAGTCTGTGAATCTGTGAGGAAGAGAAGAGAGCTGTGGCCCAGGCGGCCAGGGGGTCCAGCTCCAGAGGACGCCTGAAGGTGAGGTCATGGCCTTCTTAACTTTAGGGAGCTAAACAGGGGTGCTGCAAAATCAGATCTGCATTTTTGAAAAGACTGGTAGTTCAGAGTAAGAACTAGATAAGAGACACAAGAAGAGATATGTAGAGGTAGCTAATTGATGTTATCCAACTCCATCTTTACTAAATGAGAAGCTCAAGGATGTCTCATAAAGGAGATATTCTTTGGGATGTTGGGCTACTTTGCAACATGCGTGACAAGCACTGAAAACATGACTAGTCTAGTATGGCAGTGGCCTTCTGGGTGACATTGACAAGAACAGTTTCATGGGAGAGACTAGACGGATGATAGTAGTTTAATGTCAAAGCTGAGAAATGCATAAAAGTTGCATAAAATTCGACAGGATTTGATATATAGAGTAGCTAAAGAAAGGGCAAGGTGCCTGGAGCTATCACCCCTTTTTACACTTGGTGCCTGGTAGCAATTTTTCACTGGAAGACAAGAGCAGGTCTGGAGTATGTACAACTCCATGCGTGCTGATGGTGATGTTGCTCTGCAACATCTAAGGGGAACGGTCTGCTAAGCCCTTGAAGGTATATCTCTCTCAGAAGAGAAGTCTAGCTCATGGTTTTAAGAGTTGTTTAAGCCAAGCTCTGGGATCCTCTAAGGATAAGACAGAGGGGGTTGAGACGAGGTCCTGTGGCTCCCCCCACCCCGTGGCTTTTTTTTTAAAAACCCTCATATAACACCTGCTAAGGAAAGTATGAGGTGATAAAGAAGATTGAGGACGAGAGATGGAAGACTGCAAAGTGGAAGCTGGTGTGGGGAGAGGGCATTCTGCTAAGAGATCCAACAAGGCAAGGCTGGAAGGCATAATTCAAATTTAATGCAGTGCTCCCTGCCCTGCCCAGCAAGAGCCTCTCTGGGGATGTGCTGTGGGTGGAAGACAGATGGTAATGGCTGGAGGAGGGCAGGTGCACAGAGGAGACATCAGAGTGCAATGGCAGTGACTCTGGGAAGAAATCAAGTTGTAAAGTGAGGGGAGAAGGTGGAGGGAAGAGGGCCCAGAGCAGGGCTGGTTTTGTGTTGGAGGTCTGTATTTAAATGCTCCTCTGCTTCGGGTAAGGGTTCCCTTCCTCTCCATTTTCCAAATGGTATCAAAGGACAAAGTGATTAAACCCCAATTCTGAGACTTATCTAAAAGCTATGGTCAAACAGTCTCCTTTCCTAAGTAAATAAAAAGTAATAAATTTATGAACATTTGAGGAAAATAAAAATCTGTGCTCATTAGTGTATCAGAAAATTGGAGGCATGCTGGGTGATAAGTTGCTAAGGAAACTGCTGCCCTGGGTCATGGGAGAGGATATGCGGAGGAGCTGGCTTTGACTAGAGCTTGGAGCAAGGTAGAGCTACTCCTTGCAGTGGAGCAGAGCTGCTCCACACCCTTGGCCAACAGAAAAGAGTAGGGCTGGGCTTTGGGCCCTGGTTACCATGACAAAGTAAGAGCCTGCCAATCCCTTCCCGAAGGCTAACCTTGGGGGTATTTGCCTCCAGGTTAAATATCAAATGTTTCCCTCAACAGAGTAGGGAATCTGCTGGGTTAAAAACTGAGACTCATTATTACTCTACTACATAGGCAGTTGAGCTTAACCTCATTATCTGTCTGAATATCAAACATCTTAGACATAACATGGAACAGGTATTTTCCATCTAGTATTGATATGTTAAACTTTGAGTCCCTGCA